CGGCAGCCGGATGCTTGCTGCACAGCAGGCTCCGAAAATAAGCAGGGTCCGAGTGGAAAGCGACGTAGTTTCCCTGGAGCGGGGCAGTTTCATAGTTTAGAGGGGGCTTGCAAGGCGAGCGCAGGATTTCCGGGTAGTGCGAGCCCGGGTATTTGCTAAAAATTTGAGGTAGTTGGGCTGCGGGGCGCGCGGCTGCAGCGCCGGGGCGCGGGGACTGCGCGCTGATTGGCAGGGGCCGCGCGGCTCCGCTCAGGCCCCGCCAAAGTTGGTGCTTGTCCTTCCAAAAACCCGGGCGGGGGCTGGCGGCCGCCGCGGCGGCGGCGCGCTCTGGCGGCGGCGCCTTTGTGGCCAGGGTCCGGCCGACCCTCCTGCGCTTGGTCTTGAGGACACGCTCTGTTTTGCAAGAGGTGTAGAGTGCCTCCACATCTTCCCGGGAGATGAGCGTGCATTTGGCGGCGTGGAAGGCGATGCTGTTGATTGCCTTGAGTTTCCGCAACTCCTCCAGATCACAGTGGTGCTTTTTCACTTTCAGATGATCCATGCGCTTGTGCACGGTCGTCCTCGGGATGTTTTTCAGCAGATCCGTGAAGACTTGGGAGAGGGCAAACATTTGCTTTCCTTTAATGATGAGGTAGCCGAGCCTCACGCCATCCACCTCTTCAAAACCTGACTTCAGGTCTCCCATCTCGGGTACTAAATTATCCCCACCATTTGCAGTAAATATATACGTGACGCATACATACACATGTATGTATGTTAATCCTCCACCAGATGCTGCGTGTGTCTCAAGGCATCCTGCTAATAAAATAACAAAGACTGTTATTCCCGGCGAAAGGAGTGCCAAACTCTAGGCGAAATTATTGGAAAAAAAACAAACAAACATGAAATTACACTGACTTGATCCTTGCTTTTTTTTGGTTTTCGTTTTTTTAAAAAAGAGGGAAAAAACCATCCGGTTTCTGATCTGCCAGTGTGTTGGTCTAAGTCCCCAATGCAGATCAGTACCTGGGCCCCTCTATTCCTTCCTTCTCCATTGGAGCACTATGATAATGGAATGTGAAAGGAGAAAGAGAAAAGAAATGCAGCTGCTATTCCCGCCGCTGCTTTAGCTACAAATAAAATGACAGAGTGAAGTGAGCTCGTCCGGAGACACCTTCATCAATTAATTCCCCTAAAGCCAGCGCTGATTGGACACTCCTGACAGGTGATGCAATAAAAATTGATATTCCACCCCTTCCCCCCAAAATCTCCCACTAATTAGCATACCCTTATACTGCCACCTCCCCTCCCAAAGTAAATAATACAGTCGGTATATAAATCTTTCCATTAAACTATCGGAGCTCAGAAACAGCCTGACTCAGAGACTTCATCAGAAGCAGTGTGTGTACGCTTAAAAAAAAAAAAAAAAAAAAAAAAAAGCCCTGTATATTCTCTTTTAAAGGAATATTGCCTATTTTTTGCTTTATTTGCATTTTACCGCTACAGCTATTATCATTTCAAAGAAAAGCATTTTAAAAACATTATCAAGCCTAAATAGATACACCCCACCCCCTTTTCCTTTAGAAAATGGAGCTTAAGTGAAAATGTGCAGAATAGCCTGGTATTTCCCTTTTGGGAGTGGGAAAGGAGACCGGCTGGGAGCTCCAAAGTTAAACCCGCGCTGTGAACAACCCCAGTACAGACTCACGTTTTGAATTTCTCTCGATTTTCCTTTTTTTTTCTTCCTGAAATGCCGTTTTACAATCAAAAACAAAGTTATTTGATCAAGAAAGCAGTTCAGGGCTCCAGCTCCGAAACACTGTAACAATTCAACTGGATTTTGGTTCTCTGCTGGGGGGTGGGGTGGGGAGGAGGTAGTTTCACGTCAGACCCATAACAAAGCATAGATAAGCCAGAAATGTGTACACTTTTCACAATTAACCAGACTGGATTGGAGGCGGGATCGTCTTAGAGTACCCAGTACAATCTTTCTGTTCACCACAGGTCAGAATTCCAGGGAGCAGACTGCTTCTGCAGCAAAGAAAAAATGTAAAACGCCCAAGGTGCTTCCAGAGGTTTTACGTAATAACGATGAAAAGAAAGTGCTGATGTACAATGAAGACTATTTCAGTAGTGTGTGATGCTTTTGCTTAGTTTTAATGAGTCTTCCACAACTCCCATTTTACCCATGGAAGTCAAGCATTTGTTCAAAAAATTACTTTGGATGAATATCAATATTGTTTAACCTCTTCTTAATCAAATTAAAGCATATTTTCTATCATTTTCAAGGATATACAAAATATTTCCAAATGACGGTAAGGATCTTTCCAGTTGCATTAAGATGATCCCAAGGCGATTTTTTGACTACTCTGCAAAATTCGGCAAAATCAGTGTTTGCAGATACATCATAAATGCAATCAGGCATATATGTTTCCTTGTTCCTCCAAAAAATAGACACATCTTTGTGGTTAAAAGAATAAACGGATATTTCTGAGCAAGAAAAAAAAATGTATAATAATTTTTTCCTTCACATTCAAAAGTTGCACTTTCCCCTGCTTTGGTCTGGCTAGCACAAGTAGACATGGCTTTAAAGAGAGAGAGAGAGAGAAATAAGGCATACAAAAAGGTAGTTTGCATGGAATCTCCACCATAGTTCCCCACCCCCACTCTCATCTCCCTTGTAATTTCCCTGGAATTTTGAAGAGAATTGAGAATTTCAAGAAGTACATCCGGAAATTAAGGAAGTCTATTTAAGAGAGTCTGCAACTCAGAGGTTGGGATTTGAAAAGTCAGCCCTGGACTACTGTTGCACTCAGCACAGATGTAATCGCAGCTCTTCAACTTAATCAATGTGTGTACAAACCGCGATGTCTAGTTCTTGCCTTTGAAATCTAAGGCTAGCATTTCCATCCAAGAAATCAGAGCTACAGCAAATTACATTTTTGTCCTTTGAATGAGAGAAGGATCATTGAATGGATCTCGTGATATTTCAAGCTTTAAACGTAACCGAGAGGCAGCAATGAACAATGCCTCGTCACAGCTAATACCATCCACCGAGTTGGCTTTCTTTTACATCTGGATCTATCACATCGCGTTTTTCTCTTTCACTTTCACAAGAGGCAAAATGCAAAAGATATAAGCAGAAAGCAAAGTTTCCAGGAAAAGCAGATGCTGGTGTTTGTTTTTTAAAGTAGAATGCCCAGAATCTTTCTACTGCTAGCAATAATAGTGTTTTAAGATTCTCCCTGATGCACTTATATAGTGCCAGCCCTTTTCCTCCCACCCCACCTCCGTTCAGTTCCCCTCCCCCAGCTTTAAGATTTCGACCAAAGAGTCAAACAGCGAAGAATAGTAAACTCAAAAAATGTCTTTGAGAAAACATTTTTGCAATGTCGGTTGGTTAAAGCTTCCTTGTTCCCTTCCTTTTCCAGATAGTAGTTCTAGATCTATTTAGACTCACCTCACTCACACACACACACCACACACACACACACACACACACACACACTCACACTCCTATTCCTCCTGCCCATGGCAACATGATTTAGTAACCCTTTCAAAATTACCTTCTCTTCCTCTCCCTCTCTACCTTTAAAATACTGGCAATATGTTTGGCTTTTAAAACTAGTAGAATATTATGTTGTGTGTGTGTGTTTAAACTAAAGGTACAATCTATTGGGTCAAAAGAGAAAAACAAAGGGTAGGGGATTTGGGAAATGTGTCTATATATACAATCTTGTGCACTCAGACACCTTTATACTTATACATTTTTAATACACCCATTACACATCTTTCTTCTTGTCTAATACATTCTTTTGTTCCTTTAACTTCTCATCATTGTGTATGTGTTAAGGTGTGAGTGTGGGTACTCCCACACATGCAGGCACACACACATACACATATATCCACACATATAGACAGAATGTGACAGACAGCTTTCTTGTGGCCATCAGCACACGTTGCATATCCGGGGTCTTCTCCAGGCACATTGGGGGTCGATCCCGATAAAAAGATCTAGCAGAGGCCCCTGAGCGCTCACACATGAAAGGCAGGGGACTTTAAGATGGATTTGCATGCACACAGGGGATTTCGATCAATAGCTACCAACATTTATGGCTTAGATTATTAATGTGAAAGCTGGCCAAAAGAATAGGGATGAAAAATTAAAGGTATCTGTTATCAATTATGCTTAAAGTTATGCAATAATTTACTTACTTTGCCTGGATATGCAGCTCCAGATGTATAAAGTACTATTCTTCAAAAGCAAGGGGGTTTCTTTGATAAATTTGTTGACCATGTCAGTGGCTTCTACAATCAAAGATGAGCCCAATTCAGATGATGGACTGTATTCAAATTTTTTTTTAAGAAAAGATATATCACTTGCATGCTTCTTAAGCACATATACATGTGTGGGTAGATGTGCCCAAATCAACATTTATATGTATATCTATCTCTAAAGGTGCAGGGAATTATATTGAGAACTTAGGCATACATTTGATATACATTGCATTTGTTAATAAATGATTACTGACATACGCATAAGCCTACATACTAGTGTTAAAAAGTATTTTAGCTTTGAAAACAAAGCTGCTTGCTAAAGGAAAAGCCTTTGTGGCAAATACAGATAGAAAATATTCAATGTCCGCTTACTTGTGCATTTATTGTAAAAAATCAGCACTTTCAGTTTTTAAAGTGATGGCTATGAAGATATGATCATATTTGTCTTTACCTATACTTTATGAATGTGTTAAATTTACCTTCTGATATTCTGTTTTGATATATTTTCACTTTATTTTATGCTTAAATACTATTGCAATTTGGTCTGACCTCTTTCCTCTGCTACGAAGTAATGCACATGGCATTTACAGTATTTTAAATGGTTAGCTAGGAAATGCAATAGCAATTTGCAGGAGTAGTTTACTAATGGGGAAAGTTCTTTGAAAACCTGAAGGAAAACCTAAGAGTACATTTGCATTTCTAGGATACAACTGTCATATAATTAAAGTATTGAAGAACATTAAAGTAGTCCTTTTCCTTCCAAGCTTTTGCCTATACATACATAATTTAAATAAGGATAACCACCCTCCCAGCATCATCATCACCACTACCTAACTCTTCACCATATATATTTGTTATAGTGATTGCTGAACACATTTTGTTCAAAGAAACAGACAGCAAAGATTAGAGGACCATCACAAAGACCTCAACAATGTAAGCATAGTGAGTAGAAGAATAAAAAAAAACTTGTAAACCAAAAGTGACTGTAATATAACATAAATCTAATAATTTAAAGTCTCATATGGCTGACTTAAGAGTGAATATAAAACAATAAAATCTTGTGTGATAGTCAATAATTCCTTACCTAAAATTATCTAATATCATATGTCCTCTGCTTTCTGGGAGGGGAAAATGAATGGAGAAGGAAATGACTAAATTAAGGGACAACTTAAATTATAACTTAGTATATTACCCTTAATTTTTTTCTTTTTGTTTCATCTAAACAAAACAGGGCAAGTCTCCAAGCCCATCCTTCTGTTCTTAGGCATTTAGAAATCCTGTTTTTAACAGAAGTTTGGGGCACAGAGTATATGCCATGTTGTCTACTGACCCATAATAAAAATGCAGTGACCTTCTACCCTTTTTTTGCCCCCTGACCCATCTTGAATTCAATGCAGCCTTTATAAATTTGCAAATCCTTGGAGGTAAAGGAGTTTTTGTGAGGCTTTGTTCTGGAAAAGCCCTGAGAGTGTGCTTTCTAAATTAGAC